TTCTGCTCCATTGCGAACGTCTCCAGTGCCAAAGAGAAGACGCAGCCCTGCAGGGCAATGCCTGCTTGCCTGAGCTCTTCGAACCTCATAGGTAGCTCCTCCACCGGTTGTGTTTGCAGGGCCATGGTGAGCACAGCTTGAGGCCCAATCTCGTTGATGCCCACCATAGAGAGACCTTGTATGATCGAAGCCGGTGGAAAGGTACGCGTTGCGAACATGCGGGCGACGAACGAGTCTTCGAATCGGACGGGCGCGGTATCGGGGCCTTCCAAGCGGCGCAGAAGGTTCTCATCGTATTTTGCTGCACCCCGCCTCCACTTCTTGGTCGACCCTTTCGTGTCAAAGTAGACCTCACGAGCTGAATCCTCAACGGTAAACAGCTGGACGAGAGGATGTGACGCGACAGACTCGGATGGCATATCGTTGCGAAGAGTGCAAAGTGCATGCCATCGGCGTGCCGCAGTTATGTCATCCTTCTCAATGAGCGCCGGCACCACCTCGTCGTAGAGGTCTCGCTCGTTGCTGTGCTCGTATATTTCCATTAATGCTTCGTATGCGCCGTGCTTGTAAGTCGATCGCCCTTGATGTGCCAGCTGCCGTAGGGGAAGCCGCTGAGGCTTCAGGCTCTTTTGAATCGCGTAGTGATACCTCAACGCGGGCGCTGTTCTCCTCGGAAGCCAGTGGCTCATGACCAGATAGTACAGACCAGGGTATGTCTTGCCAGTTTCGTGAAGCAGCTCCTCGGCATGCTCTATTGCCTTGTCTGTGATCAGGTGGTTCTTCACAAAAGTTCCCCATAGGAATGCGGCATCGGATGTGTCTTCAGTGGGCAGGCGGTACCCTCGACGGCGGAAGTTCTGCCAGACATTGCGGACACCCTTTTTCCCGTGCAGTCTCTCTTCGTTTGCAAGGATAGCGGCGAGTTGTGCAGGATCGTCTTCCCTTTCCGCTACACGTACGACGTCGGTTTCGAAGATATCTGCGGTCGGGATGAGGGTATCGCTGGACTCGTCACGCTGGAGTGCCTTGAGCACGTGGTCTCGGACTGCCTCGTGTTCGCTTGCATCCTTCATTCGCCTCCATTTCAGCTTGGGTTGCGGTTTCGGCTGGGTGGAGTAGTTGCGGCGGCGTGCTACTGGCGGGCAGCATTTTGTCGCCGCGGAACAGGCTGCGGGGAGTTCGGGGGCATTGACGATGGAGCGCAGGAGTCGCAGGGCTGACGGGCTGGCGAGGAGCCTGTCCAGAGCCGGTGGCATCAACAAGACAGGGGCGGAGGGCGAAATGAGTCCATTGGCGTCGCAATCGTCGTGCGTGAACTGAGCATGCGGAAAGTTGTTGCGCCCAAAGCGGCCAAGGGCCTTGGCGGCCGACTTGCTTTCGCCGGCGGATCATTCGACCTCGCGACATCACCAAATCGACCAATCCACGAATCCACCAATTGCCCCCGCAAGCCGCGCAATACTCCTCTACACTCTTCAAAATGCCTGGGTACGTCTATCCCCGAGCTTTGGGCCCGGCTGAGGGCCCTGGAGAGCACCGCGACAGCCTCCAGCGCTCCTCCGCCTTTCCGCACAGAGCTGGATACTGACAGTCGGCAGCTGGGTTATGCGCGAGAACAAGGTGCCTTACTGGCAACGCGAGTTCCAGAAGCACGACGGACTGAGGACCTGGGAGAAGGTGCGTACTAAATATACAAGAGGAGGGTTAAAGTAGGCATGACGTGGTTGGAGATGATGCGCATGCGGCGCTGGACACATGGCGTCTGGAAGTGAGAAAACACAGGGATCAATGCTGACAGATTGCTTCTTAGGCCCGCGGAAAGTACCTGGTACCCGGCTTCAAGGTCATCATGTTCAGCAGCCTCGGCGCCAGCATGTACATGATGGGCCGTCTCGTCCTTGTAAGTTTGCATTGGGTTGAATTGAGTGCAACATCATTACTAACTATGATCAGGGACACAAGACCTGGTTCGGCAAGAACTAGACTCCGCACTTCGAGCATGATATCCAAATGGGTGGGACCAGTATGAGTCTTCTGCATCAATATACAATCAACCGACAAGTCTTTACCCATTACAACATCTTCTTTGTCAGACCGCATAGAACAATCTTCATTGTCTATTTACGCTGTGTTCACTTATTCTGAAGTGATGCTGCCACGCAGCTATTACGTGGCTGACAGAACACGAATGGCTGTCACTTGCAATGATGACTAGGCTGACTTGTGAGAATACGTCTTTGGGTCGACCTTGCGGATGCGTGTGAGGCAGCAGACAGTTTGGTCACTCGGAATGCAATGGGGCTTGATATCGAGCTCCCATAGTCATGGCAGAGTGCCCGTTCCTACCAGTGTCGAGTACGGACACAACCACTTCAGATGAGCAGTCTGGCAAACCAATGTCCCCAAGTAGCTAATATCAAAACACTTGACCGAAATTCCACAATAAGCTGCACCGGATCCAGGCGCGAAACCAGAAGGAGCTCTGGGGTAGCTTGCCCAGATGCCCCTCCACATGCGTGCTAGTCGCTGTAAAATGAGGTCAGTGCCTGGAACGTGGAACCGAGCCGAGATCCTCCAAACCACCTCCCGCGCCGCCAAATCTCCACGTACGCTCCTTCGTTGTGACGCATCGACGCAATGGCAGACTTCGTCAAGGGTCTCTTTGGTGGCCAAAAGCCTGTCCAGGCTCCAGTTGTTGGTGATGATGGTACGTACACTACATTGCATGCGCGGTCGCGAGGCCACCAGCCTGGGAAGCGGGACCACACGAGACCCCTTTGCGACGCTCGAATTCTTGACAGGAGATGGAGTCGCGAGGTTATCGTGAGGAGACCATCGGATATTGCAGAGGCTATCAATATACATGACCAATGGCTGCGCTGACACTCACCAGACTTCGCCGACTACGCAGGCGCTCCTGAGCCCACACCCGCTGCCATCTCGTCCTTCACGACCGGTACCGGTGCAGCGCAAGCCGCTCCTACAGGCCTGGGCGACAACCGGCCCTATACAGCATGGTACCGGGTGTGGGAGCGCACCACCATGGACGACTTCAAGCTGGAGATGTACATCCTGCCATTCCTCGTTGCTCTCATCGCGGTCCACCTCTGGGGCACCAAGCGCAACCGCAGCAAGGCCAAGGCATGGATGAAGGCTCACGCCCCTGTCCTGACCCAAGAGTTCGCCCAAGTCGGCTACACGCGCCCAGACGGAGAGGGAGCGGTTGCGGATGTGGACAGCATGCTCAAGGAGAAGAAGGCCGACGAGTACCAGACCTACGCGACTGGACGCCAGAACGTTGCCTTCGTCGACTTCAGGCTGAGCTTCTACAAGCGCGCCAACCCCTTCATGTGGCTGGGAGAGAGCGTGCTTCCCCTGTTCTTCGAAAGTTTCCCTGCACCCAGCGAGCGTCTCGAGGCTACCGCCTACGTTTTCGATGGCCGGGAGACCAAGTTCGCTCCTTCATACGGTCAGGCCGACGCAAAGAAGGTCACCAACAGTTCTTTCGATGGCTTCGTCTTCGCAATTGTACACAAGGATATCATGAAGCGCATGCGCGACGAGCGCTACGACTTGTCTCTGACCAGCACGCGCGACCACGCCAAGTTGCCCGTCTGGGTCACTGTCATGAGCGAGAGCGCCGAGGTTACCGACATGCTGCTCACACCCGAGCTCACCAAGGCTGTGAACGACGCCGGAGACAGCTTCGAGGCCATCATCGTCAGCGACCAGCCCATCAACGCGCCCAGGACGTAAGTCATCCGGCATTCAATCCCTCTATAACATGATCTAAGCTAACGTTTTCTAGCCTCGACGAGACCAAGCCCAAGAAGCGCCTCAGCCTCTCCCTGAAATTCGCCTCGGACTACTCCACCACCATGCCTATCTTCCAGTACTTCCTCCGCCTCACCGACCAACTTGCTTCGCACGGACACTTCCGCCCCGAAGCCCTCCGCCGCATCAAGCAAACCCGCGACGAGCAAATCGCCAAGATCAAGAAGGCAGATGATGAGGAGAAGGCCGAAGAGAGGAAGCTTTCGCTTGACAAGGCGAAGAAGGAGATGAGAGACGCCAAATTGGGTCGTCTCAGCGCCGATGAGCAGCGCAAGTTCCTCGAGAAGGAAAGGGAAAAGAACGCGAGGAAGGGCATGAAGAGGAGTACCGTCAAGGCATAGGCTCCCTCTGATGGATTGAAATGAGGTCAGGGTGGGCACAAACTTTGGGTCAAGCTTGGATGAAGTGGCACATAGGATGATTGTATTAGTATCAGGGAAACCACGGTATTTGTGTCGTGGCAGCAAAGAGTAGTAATTCATTAATCGCACGCTACTTTACAGACAGAGAAACAACGCGTCGTCGACTGCCAACACCACTCCATCTTGCAAACTCAAACAACAATAAAACCACGAAAAAACATCGCTGTGCATCCAAAAGAGACTCCTGCAAAACAGTCTTCTCACGCTTTGTGTACCCTCTCACGCCTACGCATACCGTAGGATCCACCAGGAAGCCCACTCTCCTGCGCCTGGGGTATACCGATATGCGTAGTAAATCCAGTCTCGGTAGCAACCGCAGTTGTAACAGCACTAGGGTTCTGATGCACTGGCCACTGAGTCTCGAGTCCGGCTGCGTCGAGTGAAAATTTATGGGATACGAAGTTGTCCATGACGGAATGCGGACAGCGAGTTAGGCCACCATGCACGCCTGTGCATTCGAAATGGACATTGCTAGTCGGCGAGGGAGTCGGCGTGGGAGTATGCAGTGCGTTGTAGTCTCTCAGCTTCGATAGAAAGTCCTGCGTGGCCGATACCCCACACCAAGTCAAGCCGTATTCACCCATGCATTCGAGAAAAGTACCTTCAGTCGGCAAGGGTGTTGGCCACGGAGTCTGGAGTGCAGGTATGTGGAGTTCAGAATGTTTGGATAGGACGGCATCCGTATAGTATTGTGGACAGCGAGTTAGGCCACCATGCTCACCCAGGCATTCCATAAAGACACCGTCAGTCGGCAAGGGTGTTGGCGACGGAGTCTGGAGTGCGGCTGCTTTGGACTTACTCATACTCGATAGGGCTTCGTCTGTGTAGGATTGCGGACACCAAGTCAGGCCACCGTTCTCGCCCATGCATTCAAGGATGATAGCGTCAGTCGGCCATGAGGTTTCGATTGCAGCTGGACTGGTCTCAGTTGGCATGGATGGGAGGTCGTTTGTGTAGTGTAGTGGACACCATGTCGTGGCACCACCCTCACCCAAGCATTCGGTCATGACACCGACATGCGGCCGCGGAGTCTCGAGTGCGGCTTGGTCGTGCTCAGTTGGCATTGCTTGGAGGGCGTCCGTGGTGTATTGCATCTCCACAAGGCCATCCTCGTTCGACATGGACTGAACCGGGTCATTGCCATCGTAGTGGTCCACATGAAGTGACCCCCAGTGACATTCGGGGGTGTCGCATGCACAGTAAACCCGCCCTTTCCCATCCCCGCAGTCGACCAAAAAAGGATGGTAAGTGAGTGGAAACATATATCCCGGTTGGTAGATCAAGAATTTCGCTGGATCGTAGCCGTTTGGACAGCAATAATGAGCGATCTCGTCGTGCATGTAGCCACCACCTGCATCGACTGGCATATTGGAGTCGCTGGCAGTCGTCAAACCCAGTCCACCTTTGGCAACTTCCTTCGCCATCTGTCGGATATGACTCCAGTCCGCGCTGTCTTCCCCTAGACTCCACGCCATGACGCCTCCGAGCTTGTACTTGCGGACGATGTTGTCGAATTTCCTTGTGATGAGTTCGGGCGTATCCCATGTCCAGAAGAGGCGGTTTGTGGCATCGAAGTAGTATTGTCCGCCAGCTACTTCGTCAGTAACACCGTGTTTGGCTGCGAGCTGCCATGAAGCTGCTACATCGGCGTCCGTACATCCAGTTCCAAACGCGTGTTGGCAGGCGCCGTTGCAGTGTTCAGGCGAAGTACCGCAGTGGCCATGTTGAGAACAACAGCCTGTCTCACACTTGGTTCCCTTTTCTGGACCGCAGGTGCCGTCTTGGGATACGGTCAGAGAGGAGGCATCAACGGGGCGCATGCGAGATCTCTCAAAGGTCCAGGCGCCAGAGGTGAGTGTGTCTTTGCCTTGGGCATCTTCCGCAAGGACGATGGGGCAGTTGAGGGGGCTGCCACTGCAGTCGCCTTGCGTGGTGAAGTATTTGGCGTAGTATGCGAAGCCGAGGTTGAGCTTGGAGGGGGGTGCGCCCATGGCGAGGTAGTCTTTTATGCTGTTTTCGGCATCGATGGCGGAGCTGTGGTGTTTGGTTACTGTGTCTCGGCGGTTCATTAGGTCGTAGCTCATCACCTGGGAGAGTTAGTACCTATGATCTCTGCAAGGTTGGTGTGAGAGAGATGATGTCACTTACGTTGATGAAATCGACGGATGGCCAGATCTGAGGTCCGGTTGTTCGAGTGTATCCAAGCATGTCAACTACTACTTGTCAGTTGACTTGCTTCAAACATGTGTATGATGACTGGCCTTCTTTTCCTGGGACAGCGATCGAAAGCAGTTTCTTCCCAATAGCAGCACGGATGGCAGCCAGTAACTTAGGGAACGCGGCGATCTGGTAAGTCTGATCCCAGTTCGCCACTTGTTTGTAGTCCGCCCCGTTGCCGCCAGGATATTCCCAATCGATGTCTTCTGTTGTGAGCATCGACAAGTAACCAATGTAGGTAGATGGTGTACTCACCGACTCCATCTGCTCCAGTCCTGGCAAGCATAGTAGCAACATCAGCGGCAAACGCGAGCATCGATGCGTCGGACTTCGTGGCTTGACAGAAACCAACCGTATCGCCCCAGCCGCCAACAGCAATCATGACCTTTGCGTTGGGGAACTCGGTGCGGATGGTGTGTATGGGAACTTTGGGCTGGAACGTAGCTGTTGCGTTGGCTGGGGCAAAGGCGAGGATGACATGGTCGATGCCAGCTCGATCTCGTGGGTTGTCTGGACGCGTTGGGTGCCATTCGTCTGCGTATATGACAAATCGGGCTGTTGCTGATATTGCGAGTATCGACGCAAGAAGCGCCGCGGATGGGAAACGCATGCTGGAGCTGGGATGTACTCAACAGCTTGTGAATGGTCGAATAGAAGACTAATAGACAATGGGGTGATGAATGCTACCAAGGAAAGCAATACGTGTTGTCATGGAGAAGATGGAAGCATATCATAGAGATAGATGTCTCCCAATCTGGCCTGTGGCGTCCATCGTAGCTACCTCAACGTGGTGTTTGTTCTTGCAGACTGTCTGAGATGGAAAGAGCAATGATAGTTGAGAGCTCTTTCTGACAACAACTCTAACAGCGAAACTATTCGTTCTCTCGCTCTTCGATAGAAGATAGAATGGCACGACGGAAAGCACAAAAGCCTAACAAAAGAAGTAGGCGTCGGTTGACTAGAAGGTGTAGTACATTCTGTACTGTGTGGCTCTCAATACAGTCGCCTTCCTAGTTAACCCGACGTGAAGAAGAGGAAGTCTTGCAAAGAAGCGGGGAATTCATCGTAATAGCAACATTCAGTCTGGTGAGCATTGCCATGTGCCGAGTACAACACAAGCTCGCTCGCCGCTTCAGATGCTTGCTGATCTAGAAGGGGAAATGGCGACTGGATAGAGCCTCATGAAGACATGACCTAATGCTTGCTGGAATGGAAAGTTTACAGGCGTCCACGAGTATGGTCCAAGCATGAGACTGATCATGTAATGAACGATATAGCAAAGATGAAAAGGGTGTAGAGAGTAAGGTTGTGTAGTCGCTCCTACCTATACTGATAGCCGAGATGCAACAAAACAGCGCGATCAGCAGCTACTGGACAATTGGAAGCCGCGGCCAGCCAACGTCGATTTCCGCATAAACATGCAACTCCTACATCGAAGCACGTCGCAAATTCCATCGTCATTGGAATCGGGTCAGTCATCCGGTATCGCAGAAATCATCGGAAATGCTTCGTCGGGCCATCGACTTCCCGAAGCCAAACCCACGTCGGTTCTACATCCTTGTTGCAAGTCGTTAGTGTTGCTATGTATGACAACGTATGCACAGGGAAAAGTATAGAGAAACGCGCATTGCAGAAAAAAAAGAGTCAGATCTTGCAGGTGCTATTTGGAGGCATGCATAGCAGACTGTCCGAACTATAGCGACCATTCGCTCCTGGGTATAGACTGCTGACATTCTCAGTGCGAACACCGTACAACAGCTACGTGACATTGACAGACCACACAGTCCTTGTAGCACACCAATCCAATCACTAAACTCTCCACAATCACGAAACCGTCGCTGCGGCAGGTGCTGCATGTCAGACGCGGGCGCACGTCGTGGGGACGATGATGCGGACAGCCGTTGAGAACCACGGTTCACATGCGTCGAGTCCACAAGCGACCGGACAGCTCACCCAGTCCGCGTCAATTTGCAGCACCTGGACCGCGATCGATGAACCGTGTCGCACGTGATAGTCCGGCGGATCCGTGATCGTCGGGCCACGCAGCTGCAGCCATGCTTTTCGGGCTGCAGCAATATGGAGCTCTGACCAATTATGACGCGACGAAAACGCGGTGGCTGGGGAGAGGCTTGGAGCTATCAACAGCTGGCCGCGCGCGACATGGATAGGCTGAGCTGAAAATGCCTCTCTTCACGGAGGAGCTGGCGCATCATGCATGAGCAGGCCGTCCGGCCCCAATTGAAGCATACCACGCAACATTGGGATCGGCCCACTGCCAATGGCCATGGTCGTGGAGCTGCAGCCAGGTCGGGGAAGCTCCCGGCAGCTCTGTGGAGCTCCAATGCGACTCGACTCTGGATTGCGACACCAGTTGCTGGCCATTGCCCGGTCAACAGCCGTGCTAAGATCAGTTGCGCGTCCGAAATTACCTCGGTGCGAGAAGCGCCAGGATGTGATGGGTTCTCTGGGGTTGAATCGGTCCATGGCTGGGAAAAAGGGGAAGCTGATACGCGCTAGTGCTCCGTGTCAATAACGCTAGTCCCAGCTTGAACAGCTCTGCCAAAGCTTCCCAGCCTCCACAACCCTGCGACCATCGATACGCCGACACAACAGTGATCCGACTGACCGCCAATCTACTTGATCCCCCTCCTCGGCCAGCCTGACTCCATCACTCCTCCACCTACACCCCGCTACTGCATCCAATTGCGCATCTTCAAGCTGCTGCACGTCAACACCATAAAGCTGGCGACTCTTCAGTAGATCCTATATCTCCAAATATCTCCACGTGAGACCCTCAAAGGAGCCAAGAAGTTCTTCTTGATTCCTTTCGAATTGTTTTCGAACGGTTCGAAGGGTTTTCAGGAACGAACGACCAGACTCCGGCAAACTGGATTTTGAAGCACGAGTATGCTCTCTCACCGCGAGTGTATAAGCAATTATGCTAATCCACTCAGGTTCCGATCCCCTTCAGTGTCTTCCCGTCTGCGTATCGGAACGCGGAAGTTAAGGAATCTACCAGTGTCCAGGTAGAAGAACAGGAAGCACAGTTCGAGCAACAGGCTTCTCACGGACGGGAAGGTCACGAAGAGGTCCACGAATCCTTCTCCGCTACCGTCCTCCCTCCTCCTCCGGCTCCCCAACAGCAGCAGCAGTTTGAGCAGCAACACCACGACACCCACGTCAAGGAAGAGGTCCGCATCTACGAAGAAGAGCGCCTCCGTCGTCCCCAGCCTCCTCCCCAGCAGCAGCAGCAGCAGTTTCAGCAGGCTCCCCAGCCCCAGCAGTTTCACGCTCAGCAGCCTCCCCAGCACCGTGAGGAGCTACATATCCACGAGCAGACTCGCTACAGACAGCCCGGACAGCACCAGCAGCCCCAACCCCAGCCTCATTCTCAGCACGTTCAGCGTACTGACCGCGTAGAGTTTGAGCGATCCCACGACCGGTAAGTCCGATCCATTGTTTTGCCAGCGCATCTTCGCACGGATCAGCACAACAGACCAACCCCCTGACTTTAGCGGCACCCAGCCACGCGCTAGCCGCTAACCCCTTTCATCTGTTGTTGTCCTAGCGACATGCAGGCCCCACTTTTCCCTCACCTCCTCTAAGCTCTTCCTTGCCCAACCCAAAGCTGACCTTCCTTTCTTCCTTCAGCTACCAACCTCACCCCCAACCTCCTACATCATCCCACTCCCACGTCGAGGTTCAGGACAGGACCTACGATAGACACTTCAATACAGTCCACGGCCCTGCCACCGACTACGCTCCATCCCAAATCGACGTTACTGAACGTCAGATTCGCGAACGTACCCGTCCCATCGTCGCCGGTGCAAGCTACTCGAAGGAGACTTACACCACCAAGCACGACACCTTCCCCAGCAGCAAGCACGTCGAGTCTGTTGCCTCCCACCAGCCATCTGAGGTCCGAGTAGAATCATCTGCTCGTTCCACTGCCGCACCCCCCAAGCACCGCAAGCGTGATATGGGATATTACGACAACGAGGGCCAATACCACTCGCTTCGTCAAGGAATCTCCCACGCCGCTCACAAGGTCGCCGACCGTATCCAACACCCCATCCACCCTCACCGTCACCACCACTCTCACGAGCACTCCTACCCCGGTGCCAAGTACGACGACGACCGTGAAGAGGTAATCGTTAAGGAGAAGTACACTTCGGCTACTCCTTCTGTTGCCCCTGCCCGCCCCGTCCAATCCGGAGCTCCAGTTGAAAGGGTCGTTCGCGTCCACAGCTCCCCAGCCCCAGCCCCTCCCAGGTCCACAGTCTCTGCTGCTGCACCTGCCCACTCCCACTCTATCACCCACGCACCCGCACCCGTCTCTGCTTCTATCGCACCTGTCCCGACTTCTGTCCGTACAGTCCGCAAGATGGCTTCCACCAAGACTATCACCATCCCCTGCCACCACATCCGCATTGGCGATCTCCTGATCCTCCAGGGCCGCCCTTGCCAGGTCATCCGCATCACCACCTCCTCCCAGACTGGCCAGCACCGTTACCTCGGTGTTGACCTGTTCACCAAGCAGCTCCATGAGGAGTCCTCCTTCATCTCCAACCCGGCTCCTTCCGTCGTTGTCCAGAACATGCTCGGACCTGTCTTCAAGCAGTACCGTGTTCTTGACATCCGTGAGGACGGTCGCGTTGTTGCCATGACCGAGTCTGGCGATGTCAAGCAGGGTCTTCCCGTCCTTGACCAGAGCGGTCTCATCTCCCGCCTGACCGAGTCCTTCGACAACGGCCGTGGCAGCGTCCGTATTCTCGTCATTGATGACGATGGTATGGAGATGGCTGTCGACTACAAGGTTGTCCACGGATCCAGGTTGTAGAAACATCTCGTCAATGGTAAGCACCATCACCTTCAATGTCCATCGTCGCGCATCATCTAACATCACTCAGGTCTCATTCAAACGTTCGATCTTCAATCATCCCTTAGGCGTTTGCTTGCTCATGGCCCCTCATCTTATACTTGTGTTCATAACTTTTGCATCGTCACTTGACGGGTAGCATGGCGCTCTCAGGCATCGATCGGTGTCTATCGCTCTCGGTGTTTGGGTTGGTGTTCATGTCTGCTTGTTCGGGTGGTGGAAATATCGGAGCTACATCTGTGGATAGTTAATGAATTGCGTCTCCTTTAACAATCGTCTCATGCATCGTGATGTCTTTGTCTTGTGTTGTTGTGATCGCTCCTTCTGAACTCTATCGTCATTCCCTAGTGTTGTCTATCGCCCTAGCTATCCGAGGCTACCCCGCGTTCTCCACGCGCTCCTCCACTTGTGTACCTTATCACCAGCAGTTATACCCGGCCCACACGACATGCGAACAACGCACGTATCTTGCGTTCCTCCGCGATGTAGTTCACCACATGAAACATCTGACACCTACTCGCCATGCCTCACTCAGACCACTCCCCATCCCCACCACGCGATCACTTTCCCGATCTTCCAATCTTCCCCGACAACGTACCCACCGCGCCACTTCTCCGCATCTCGCTTCAAAAGTTACTCGACCGCGACGAAGAAGAACAAAACAGGTGTTGGCAAGCATGTCGCGAGCTGGGTTTCTTCTATCTTGACGTACGCAGCTCCAATATACATTCAAACAGTGACAGCAACAATACTACCAACACGTCCGCTGTCGACGGCGATGCGCTACTCCAAGATGTGGACAAGCTATTCGAAATAATGCGAGACTTCTACGATCTAGATGTCTCGGAAAAGATCAAATACGACTTCAAGGACCAGGGCAGTTACTTTGGCTACAAAGGGTACGGCGAAGGTTACGTCGATAAGCAAGGAACGAAAGACCGGAATGAAATCTACAATGTACATCTTACTTTGCTCCTTTCCAACTCGAACATTGCTAGCGCAACTACTAACTCACGACTTCCAGATCTCCAAAGACGACATCCTCGGTCTCAGTGACCCCCTTCCCTCGCCAGCCGTCTTGAACCCACACCGCGAGCTATACAAATCCTATATCACCTCGTCCCACGCAATCTGCATGCTCATCACATCCTTACTCTCCTCTCGCCTCCCTCTTGCAACAGAGACGAAGTCAGCAGGCGGCCTACCCGCAATCCACCGTCTACACGCCTCATCAGGCGACCAAATCCGCTTCGTCAAAGCACCCCCACAAGAACAATCCCTCAAAGGCGTCGCACTGGGCGAACACACAGATTTCGGCAGCGTGACCGTCCTATTCAACCGCCTGGGTGGCCTGCAAGTCAGACTGCCATCCCACATCTCCCCTCTCGCACCAACATCCACATCCCCACCACCCACACCCATCGAGAAGAAACTCTGCGAAGACGGCTGGACATACGTGCGTCCCTTACCGGGCCACTGCATCGTCAATCTCGGCGATGCACTCGTCAAGTTCTCAAACGGCGCGTTGAGGAGTAATATTCATCGTGTTGTTGCGCCGCCGGGGGAGCAGGGGAGTGTGGAGAGGTATAGTCTTGTGTATTTTTGTCGGCCGGAGAATGATGTTTTGTTGAAGAGTTTGGTGGAAGGAGGGAATGTGGAGGGCGAGGAGGAGGTTACGGCCAAGGAGTGGATATTGAGGAGGGCGTTGGGGAGGAGGAAGGCGGATGGGTGGGAGAAGAGTGGTGGAACGGAGGCGGTTAGTATGGGGGTTAGGAGTGGGGGGATGAGGACGTGATTGAGGAGGGGATATGGAAGCATACAGGTAGGCCATAGCCCATGATAGATCTAGGATCATGTCTATATACAAAGTTCTTTTCTTCCAAAACTGGAGGTTCTCGATGCCATGTTGTCATCTCATCTTCGGTCATGGATACAGTATATAAGCTCGAGAATCCTCTCTACCTCCTTCTTTCTCCTATTTACCTCCAAAATGTGTGGCATACCTAAAAACCTGGGCAAAATATGTTATGTCTTTCCCTTCTCAAAACGCGCAAATCATCCACATATGGTCTGTTTTCCGACTTCGGACTCCATAACAACAAGGAGATATTACCAAAAACACCTTAAAAAGAACCGATGCCTGAAACCTTCCAGCAATGCCTACACTCGAGGCACATTTCAAAGATATCCGGAAGTACTTCATGTCACTGTTCGTCGTTCGGAAAGAAATGGCCTGCACAACGCCCCATGCCTGCTCCTTCCCTTCTCCAAGTCCAGGCCCTTGATTACATCCAGCCTACCTATCTTCCAAAAATACGTTCGACTGGACTCATGGCACCTGCCTCGGCTCTGTGCCCAAGAACAAAAACACCCGGAATATGTTTCATGTCGGCTTCCGCCAAAGCATTACATCTACTTCAAAATTACAAGGCGCACACTACATGTCGTTCTCCAGCGCTGCGCCACAAATACTCCCCCGCCGCCGGTGCGTATAAAAGCACGTCTTCTCTCGACCTTGCACCTCCCACACACTCTTCACCTCCACCTTTTTCTGGACCAAGAAGCATGGCTCGCAAAGACATGTGTCCGCTTTCTCCAAAGAGAACGTCCTCTAGAATTATGGTCTTTATTTCAACAATCTCTCCACACCCCCCTTTCTCTGGAACAAAAGTCATGGCGTTGGTAGACATGTGTCTGCTTCCTCCCAAAAATCTCCAACCAGAGGGACATGGTCCTTTCTTCCGCCGTTTCCCAGCTCAGAGACACCAAAAAGAGAATTTTAGAGACTCGATGACTCTCCTCTGCCTTCCTAAAAAAACATACTTGGCCCACCGTATGTCGCTGTGTCGCTGGACTCCTTCTTTACTCTTCCACCGCATTGAATCAGATAGTATTCTCCAAAAAGAAAAGTTCAAAGTTGCATGAAAAGTGCAGTGGAGCACTGCGAAACAAAACTTCAAAAAGAAAACCGCAATATCATCATGTTGCTTGCTTTTTCCTCCGTCTCTGCAAGAACTCACAGAAGATTAATCAAAGTCAAGGCGGTCGCAGTCATGCTGCGTTCCAGATCGCGAACCCAATGGCATGAAAATCTCCTCGACTGGTTCATCATGCAGAAGAATGAAGACGCAATTTTCAGGCACAGTTCTCCGAAATTCGACTTCGACCATCACATGTGCTTCGGCTTTCTTCCCAGGCTTGGTAGCTGTGATCAAAACTACGACAACGTCGGCTTATGTCTGTCCAAGCCTGCACGTCTACCTCAAAAGGCATAGACATCGAATATATGACTCCCATCAAAAAGCTGAACTCAAAGAAGGATGACAGTGAACAACGATGATGTTTTCTCATTCCTTGCGAAGAACTTATTTTCCAAAAGACAAAACTAAAAACGCTCGCACGCTTCACCCATAGGGCGTTCGTTCCATCGTTTACCCATCCGCCTCAAAAGGCTTACATTCAGTCAAGACGATCTGACAACACTGCGCTTACTGTCCACCCATCTTCTCATGCGTGCTCATCAAGCTACCAATGAAAGTAGTGATAAGCCTGCTCTGCACGGCAACGATATCATCGGGCACAAGCCAGATAGTAGCGCCCATCTTTCGCGCAATACTGATAGCCAGCTTGGCGTTCTGGTAGCATTCGTCGTCGTTGCGGCCCTGGGCGACGAGGTCGTAGTCGACGTAAGCGGGCTTCATGCCGGCGAGGACATCGAGCAAGAAGACGGCGTTGGAGAGGGAAGAGTCCTTGAAGGAGCGGACCTGGGTGCTCTTGCCGCCCTTGCGTGCCATGTCGTTGGCCCACTTGATCATGTCTGCGTCGGAGATTTCGCGCTTGCCGAGCTGTTGGGCGAGACCGTTGAGGGTCGAGACAATGTCCTTGCGCATCAGCTGCCATACGAGACCGAGGGTGAGTGTGCGCTGGCCGTCGGTGATGTCGGCACCTTGGATACCTGGTAGCGAGAATTGGACCTGCTTGCCGAGCTCGACGGCGTAGTTGGTGTTCTCGAGGGCCTTGAAGCGCATCAGCTCTTGGCCTTCGCGCGGCTTGTTGACGTGTCGCCAGTTTACGCTGCCTGGAATGACCTTGTCGTATGCTTGTAGGATAACTGTGCCGTCCTTGAGATCCTCGTAGAACGATTGTACGACGGGCTTGACATCGAGAGAGTTGAGCCACAGAGTGAAGACACGGGCCTCGCGCTCTCCTGCCGCATCAAAGTCGTCAATCTCGGCCTTCTCCTCCTCGGTGATGGGGTCGAGGCAGGGATGTGTGTTGAACAGGTTGGCGACGAAGGCCAGGTTGAGCTTCGGGTTTCCAGCTACGAGTGATGTGGGTGTGAGGAACTTGCGGCAGTCGAGGGCGTCGGCGTTCTGCAGGACCATCTCAGCGCGCTGGAGGAGGTCGGTTTGTTGGAGCGGCGCGCGAGAGCAGGTTTCAGGGGCGAGCTGGCTGAGGAGGACGGTGTAGTTCTCTCCATCCTTGACGTCGGTGGAGAAGTTGGAGACACTGGAAAGGTTAGCTATATGGTGAGTATGATGGAGCTTGTACATACGTCCTGTGCCACTTGGCGTTCTTCAAGTGGTAGTTGAACCATCTTAGCAAGATCTGCTCCGGTGGCAGACGCAGGAATTGCTCCAGTGTCTCGTCGTCCTCCAGTAGCCTGTACAGCTCAGGATGTAGCTTGATGTCAATCTTGCCGAGCAGACCTCTCCGGATGACCTGCCAGATCAGACCCAGAATCAAGTGCTCGCGTACTTCGATGATGTCTCCACTGCCAATGTTGACGACGGAGCACCCGATACCCTTGGCCGACTCAATGACAATGTTGTTATTCTCGGTGAAGTGGAAGTTGTTGAGCGACTTGATCTTCTTGCCCGGCTTGTTCAGCACACGTTCATCGATGGTGTCCGGTACGCTGTCGTTGATAAGCTTGGACAGGACCAATCCGTCCTTGCAGGCGTCGAACATCTCGAACGTGTCGGTCGGGAAGGGCAGGCGGTCGCCGATATCTGGGTCGCCGGCGAGGACGGCGTTGATATGGCGCGTGAACTCGGTGCGCTCATCTTCGTTGATGGTGTGGGTGACGTTTGCCGAAGAGCCCTGGACCTGGATCCTGCCGCCGCCGACGCTGCCTTTGGAGGCGTGACCTGGGTTCGAGGGCGAGTTGACGCTGGAAGCTGTGCCGGCTCGTGGGCGGGTTGGGCCGGTCGACATGCGCTGCTGGGCAGGCGACGAGACGCGCAGTTTGGAGATGAGCTGTTGCGGTTAGCTTGCACGTGGTACGTGGTATGCTGCAATGCGTACATCTACATAGTCGTCGAGCTCTACTCTCCGCGAGCTGTCGAGTTCCACCTCTTTGAGGGCCTGCCGCACCACGTCGTAGGGCTGGTGCTCCGACTGCTGGGCGCCCTTGATGACGGTGCTCTCGTCGAGGTAGCCCTTGTCGTCGACGTCGAGCTTGCGGAAGGCATCCTGCAGGCCAAAGATCTCGCCCTGCTCGAACTGGGGGTATTTCCTGTGCGCAATGGCCTGTTAGCTACCGTGGAAGCCAGCGGATACTGTAAGAAGGGCGGCGCGCCCACGTACTTTTGCAGCTTGATGATGTTCATGTTGGCGGTGCAGGTGGACAGAAGTCTAGCACAGCGGGAAGGATATACTGGGCGGCAACGTGACTGCCTGGCTCCGCCTCGTTCTGGATGCGCGTTCGTCGACTTTGAGCCTCTGTTTTGCTTACCCGATGACGACGTGGGGCGACTGCCAAGACGGACGCCTCGAGGGGCAGGTCGCAACTTGATCCCGGATTACGTACGCACGTCACCGCGCTCCCTGCATTAGGCTGCTATCCCTTCACCTGTACCCAACCCGACCACATAGCAGGTGGCACACACGACCATCTCGTACCCCTGGACGCGCAATGCCCTTGAATCTTTTCGCCGCTTCATCTCTCTCCAACACCCGCCCGTCGTCAATGCCCAAGACTTCCATGGGTCCCTAGTGTGTGAAGCGGTGTCCATTGCCACCTCACCCGTCGCTAGAGCCAGCCTTAGTCTCTACTTATGAAAAAGCCGCATACATACAACGCATCACAGTCCATCACAGTCAATCGCAAACGCATAACATCAGTGGAAAAAGAGCTTTTGATTCCCTCATTAACATCATAAGGTCCATGTCGCCGGCTCGTCCAACGAAAATAAGACACTAAACCATCCCGTCTCCTAAGTAGCTCAAAGTGGCTTGACGGCTGTCCGTATGCTATTCAGCCCGAACGCACCACCTACTAAAAAACAACAGGGCGACATGTCGACTCTAGACATGCCCGCCAAATCAATGTCATCATTGCGTGAACATCCCGTCGTGTACGCCTGCATTTTCGTCAAACATGACGCGCCGTTGTTTCCCAAGCAGGAAAGAGTACTGGAGTTGTGTCGCTCACGTTGTCGGTCCCACTGCCACATGTGTCCGGTATTAACGGTGGGTGTGTTGGCGTATGTCGAGCGAGAGGATTACTGAGGTGGCAGCACGACCGACTCCGAAAAGCTTCCAGACTCTTTCCAGCTCCAGAAAAGTAAAAGACGTGGTTGTAGAATGTACAAGACTTGCACGTGCTCGTGCCGCATGCAGAAGTCGTATATCATGAGACTGAAAGCCCAGGATATGGTGTCGTGGAACACTAGTTCCGAGAAGCAAATGGTCGTTAAAGTCGTGAATGCCGAAACGTGTTGAAATGTAGACAAGAGACATAACCAAAGGAAATATAAACACTAGGAAATACGAGAGAGCGACAAGATGGGC